GATCATGAAGATAACAACAGCATAAAAAACAAAAATACAATTAGCTATGATAATAACAACCACGAAAAATACAACAAAAACAAAAGCAATAACAACAGCAACAACAGCAACAACAACAACAACATCATCATCAAAAACAACAACAATACTAATGACAACAACATCAACAACAACAATGATGACAACAACAGCAACAGCAACAACAACATTAACAACAACAACAACAACATCATTATCAAAAACAACAACAACAACAATGACAACAACATCAACAACAATAATAATGACAACAACGACAACGACAACGACAACAACACCATTATCATTAACAACAACAACAATGATTATCATCATCATCATCATCATCATCATCATCATCATCATCATCATCATCATCATCATCATCATCATCATCATCATCATCACCTCGTGCCAGATCTGTCTTCGACAGAGAACAGCGACAATGCTTCTCCAACCATTTTTTTTTTTTGGGATACTCTCCAAAAGATCCACATTACCCTGATCTTTCCAGGTCACCCATTTGTTTCGGCCCCACAACAACACAATAATAACAGGTACAAATGAACTAACATGGGCTATGGCAAAAGAAGTCTCCTCTGCCCACAAAGTCTGGATGGCAGATACAGCGGTCATCATAACACGACGCTTCGCCAGCCAGGCAGTACCGCTTCCCGCCCTGACACAGTTCGTTCGTACCAACTGAAATAATAATAATAATAATAATAATAATAATAATAATAATAATAATAATAATAATAATAATAATAATAATAATAATAATAACATCACAACTACTATAATAATATTAATAATAATAATAATAATAATAATAATAATAATAATAATACTAATAATAATAATACTAAACTACTACTACTACTACTACTACTACTACTACTACTACTACTACTACTACTACTACTACTACTACTACTTATTATTATTATTATTATTATTATTATTATTATTATTATTATTATTATTATTATTATTATTATTATTATAATGATGATGAGGATGAAGATGCTGATGATGATAATGATGCTGATGATGAGAATGATGCTGATGATGCTGATGATGATGAGGATGAGGAGGAGGAGGAGGAGGAGGAGGAGGAGGAGGAGGAGGAGGAGGAGGAGGAGGAGGAGGAGGAGGAGACCCGTTGAGCCGTTTTAATAGCATTATTCAAGATTCTTCTTTATTTCTCTCCTTTTTCGATGATGATGATGATGATGATGATGATGATGATGCTGATGATGATGATGATGATGATGATGATGATGATGATGATGATGATGATGATGATAAAAGACTATAATTGCGCCCATTCCGCACCAAATTTAGTTGTGTGGATATTGAGCCATTATGAAAAAAAATGTAAATGGACTGGTAAATGTGTATGGTAAATAATGGTTTCTCTCGAAGTTCAACGCCTTACGGGACTCGATGTTGGCCTTTTTGTCATGCGGAAGACAAATCATTCAAATTTGGTCTCGGGTTCGTACACCAATCTCAGAAGAAATTATGGATATTCTCTGTGGCTTAAGTACAACTCTATGCCCCCTACCCCCACCCACCCCCACCTCTGCAGCCCGCGTGCCACTCCAACCTCATCCCATGAATGTCAAGTTAGAAACCACGCTACCTCAGAATTACAAAGTTCTATCTGACATTTCTGGCTGTTTTGAGTTACCAAGACCATGTGGTCAGAAACCAAATTTAATGTTCTATCTGCTCTGTCAAAATTGTATGATTATTCGGAATCTTTATCAACTTAATCAAAGAACTGCATTCGAAATAAAGCTTGACATGTTGTGAAAGTCAAAATCTTTGACGTCAAATGTATCCAAATCACGAGCGGATAGAAGTTTGTAATATTCTGAGGTAGCGAACAGCTAAACTTTTGTTAGAGGTTTTCAGTGGGGGGGGGGTGTAAAGAGGGGTAGAGAGAGGGGGATCAGAGAGAGAGAGAGAGAGAGAGAGAGAGAGAGAGAGAGAGAGAGAGAGAGAGAGAGAGAGAGAGAGAGAGAGAGAGAGAGAGAGAGAGAGAGAGAGAACAAGTTATTTACACTATCAGTCAAGCCTTGTTGGAGACGAATATTACCTAAGAGTTAACCTATACAGCACTGAAAAGTTGTGTGTTCGGGA